TCCTGGGTAGGCACATGGCATTAGTGTTGGTATTTTACACTGCTGACTACTTATCCTGGGTAGGCACATGGCATTAGTGTTGGTATTTTACACTGCTGACTACTTATCCTGGGTAGGCACATGGCATTAGTGTTGGTATTTTACACTGCTGACTACTTATCCTGGGTAGGCACATGGCATTAGTGTTGGTATTTTACACTGCTGACTACTTATCCTGGGTAGGCACATGGCATTAGTGTTGGTATTTTACACTGCTGACTACTTATCCTGGGTAGGCACATGGCATTAGTGTTGGTATTTTACACTGCTGACTACTTATCCTGGGTAGGCACATGGCATTAGTGTTGGTATTTTACACTGCTGACTACTTATCCTGGGTAGGCACATGGCATTAGTGTTGGTATTTTACACTGCTGACTACTTATCCTGGGTAGGCACATGGCATTAGTGTTGGTATTTTACACTGCTGACTACTTATCCTGGGTAGGCACATGGCATTAGTGTTGGTATTTTACACTGCTGACTACTTATCCTGGGTAGGCACATGGCATTAGTGTTGGTATTTTACACTGCTGACTACTTATCCTGGGTGGGCACATGGCATTAGTGTTGGTATTTTACACTGCTGACTACTTATCCTGGGTAGGCACATGGCATTAGTGTTGGTATTTTACACTGCTGACTACTTATCCTGGGTAGGCACATGGCATTAGTGTTGGTATTTTACACTGCTGACTACTTATCCTGGGTAGGCACATGGCATTAGTGTTGGTATTTTACACTGCTGACTACTTATCCTGGTAGGCACATGTTACAGTGTTGACTACTTATCCTGGGTAGGCACATGGCATTAGTGTTGGTATTTTACACTGCTGACTACTTATCCTGGGTAGGCACATGGCATTAGTGTTGGTATTTTACACTGCTGACTACTTATCCTGGGTAGGCACATGGCATTAGTGTTGGTATTTTACACTGCTGACTACTTATCCTGGGTAGGCACATGGCATTAGTGTTGGTATTTTACACTGCTGACTACTTATCCTGGGTGGGCACATGGCATTAGTGTTGGTATTTTACACTGCTGACTACTTATCCTGGGTAGGCACATGGCATTAGTGTTGGTATTTTACACTGCTGACTACTTATCCTGGGTAGGCACATGGCATTAGTGTTGGTATTTTACACTGCTGACTACTTATCCTGGGTAGGCACATGGCATTAGTGTTGGTATTTTACACTGCTGACTACTTTATCCTGGTATTTTACACTGCTGACACTTATCCTGGCATTAGTGTTGGTATTTTACACTGCTGACTACTTATCCTGGGTAGGCACATGGCATTAGTGTTGGTATTTTACACTGCTGACTACTTATCCTGGGTAGGCACATGGCATTAGTGTTGGTATTTTACACTGCTGACTACTTATCCTGGGTAGGCACATGGCATTAGTGTTGGTATTTTTACACTGCTGACTACTTATCCTGGGTAGGCACATGGCATTAGTGTTGGTATTTTACACTGCTGACTACTTATCCTGGGTAGGCACATGGCATTAGTGTTGGTATTTTACATCCTGCTGACTACTGTTGGTATTATCCTGGGTAGGCACATGGCATTAGTGTTGGTATTTTACACTGCTGACTACTTATCCTGGGTAGGCACATGGCATTAGTGTTGGTTGACTACTTATCCTGGGTATGTTTTTACACTGCTGACTACTTATCCTGGGTAGGGCATTAGTGTTGGTATTTTACACTGCTGACTACTTATCCTGGGTAGGCACATGGCATTAGTGTTGGTATTTTACACTGCTGACTACTTATCCTGGGTAGGCACATGGCATTAGTGTTGGTATTTTACACTGCTGACTACTTATCCTGGGTAGGCACATGGCATTAGTGTTGGTATTTTACACTGCTGACTACTTATCCTGGGTGGGCACATGGCATTAGTGTTGGTATTTTACACTGCTGACTACTTATCCTGGGTAGGCACATGGCATTAGTGTTGGTATTTTACACTGCTGACTACTTATCCTGGGTAGGCACATGGCATTAGTGTTGGTATTTTACACTGCTGACTACTACTTATCCTGGGTAGGCACATGGCATTAGTGTTGGTATTTTACACTGCTGACTACTTATCCTGGGTAGGCACATGGCATTAGTGTTGGTATTTTACACTGCTGACTACTTATCCTGGGTAGGCACATGGCATTAGTGTTGGTTTTTACACTGCTGACTACTTATCCTGGGTACATGGCATTAGTGTTGGTATTTTTGACTGCTTATCTACTTATCCTGGGTGGGCACATGGCATTAGTGTTGGTATTTTACACTGCTGACTACTTATCCTGGGTAGGCACATGGCATTAGTGTTGGTATTTTACACTGCTGACTACTTATCCTGGGTAGGCACATGGCATTAGTGTTGGTATTTTACACTGCTGACTACTTATCCTGAGTGGGCACATGGCATTAGTGTTGGTATTTTACACTGCTGACTACTTATCCTGGGTAGGCACATGGCATTAGTGTTGGTATTTTACACTGCTGACTACTTATCCTGGGTAGGCACATGGCATTAGTGTTGGTATTTTACACTGCTGACTACTTATCCTGGGTAGGCACATGGCATTAGTGTTGGTATTTTACACTGCTGACTACTTATCCTGGGTAGGCACATGGCATTAGTGTTGGTATTTTACACTGCTGACTACTTATCCTGGGTAGGCACATGGCATTAGTGTTGGTATTTTACACTGCTGACTACTTATCCTGGGTAGGCACATGGCATTAGTGTTGGTATTTTACACTGCTGACTACTTATCCTGGGTAGGCACATGGCATTAGTGTTGGTATTTTACACTGCTGACTACTTATCCTGGGTAGGCACATGGCATTAGTGTTGGTATTTTACACTGCTGACTACTTATCCTGGGTAGGCACATGGCATTAGTGTTGGTATTTTACACTGCTGACTACTTATCCTGGGTAGGCACATGGCATTAGTGTTGGTATTTTACACTGCTGACTACTTATCCTGGGTAGGCACATGGCATTAGTGTTGGTATTTTACACTGCTGACTACTTATCCTGGGTAGGCACATGGCATTAGTGTTGGTATTTTACACTGCTGACTACTTATCCTGGGTAGGCACATGGCATTAGTGTTGGTATTTTTTTACACTGCTGACTACTTATCCTGGGTAGGCACATGGCATTAGTGTTGGTATTTTACACTGCTGACTACTTATCCTGGGTAGGCACATGGCATTAGTGTTGGTATTTTACACTGCTGACTACTTATCCTGGGTAGGCACATGGCATTAGTGTTGGTATTTTACACTGCTGACTACTTATCCTGGGTAGGCACATGGCATTAGTGTTGGTATTTTACACTGCTGACTACTTATCCTGGGTAGGCACATGGCATTAGTGTTGGTATTTTACACTGCTGACTACTTATCCTGGGTAGGCACATGGCATTAGTGTTGGTATTTTACACTGCTGACTACTTATCCTGGGTAGGCACATGGCATTAGTGTTGGTATTTTACACTGCTGACTACTTATCCTGGGTAGGCACATGTTGGCATTTTACACTGCTGGTATTTCCTGGGTGGGCACATGCTGACTTTACACTGCTGACTACTTATCCTGGGTAGGCACATGGCATTAGTGTTGGTATTTTACACTGCTGACTACTTATCCTGGGTAGGCACATGACATTAGTGTTGGTATTTTACACTGCTGACTACTTATCCTGGGTAGGCACATGGCATTAGTGTTGGTATTTTACACTGCTGACTACTTATCCTGGGTGGGCACATGGCATTAGTGTTGGTATTTTACACTGCTGACTACTTATCCTGGGTAGGCACATGGCATTAGTGTTGGTATTTTACACTGCTGACTACTTATCCTGGGTAGGCACATGACATTACTGTTGGTATTTTACACTGCTGACTACTTATCCTGGGTAGGCACATGGCATTACTGTTGGTATTTTACACTGCTGACTACTTATCCTGGGTAGGCACATGGCATTAGTGTTGGTATTTTACACTGCTGACTACTTATCCTGGGTGGGCACATGGCATTAGTGTTGGTATTTTACACTGCTGACTACTTATCCTGGGTAGGCACATGGCATTACTGTTGGTATTTTACACTGCTGACTACTTATCCTGGGTAGGCACATGACATTAGTGTTGGTATTTTACACTGCTGACTACTTATCCTGGGTAGGCACATGGCATTACTGTTGGTATTTTGCACTGCTGACTACTTATCCTGGGTAGGCACATGGCATTAGTGTTGGTATTTTACACTGCTGACTACTTATCCTGGGTGGGCACATGACATTAGTGTTGGTATTTTACACTGCTGACTACTTATCCTGGGTGGGCACATGGCATTAGTGTTGGTATTTTACACTGCTGACTACTTATCCTGGGTAGGCACATGGCATTAGTGTTGGTATTTTACACTGCTGACTACTTATCCTGGGTAGGCACATGGCATCAGTGTTGGTATTTTACACTGCTGACTACTTATCCTGGGTAGGCACATGGCATTAGTGTTGGTATTTTACACTGCTGACTACTTATCCTGAGTGGGCACATGGCATTAGTGTTGGTATTTTACACTGCTGACTACTTATCCTGGGTAGGCACATGGCATTAGTGTTGGTATTTTACACTGCTGACTACTTATCCTGGGTAGGCACATGGCATTAATGTTGGTATTTTACACTGCTGACTACTTATCCTGGGTAGGCACATGGCATTAGTGTTGGTATTTTACACTGCTGACTACTTATCCTGGGTAGGCACATGGCATTACTGTTGGTATTTTACACTGCTGACTACTTATCCTGAGTGGGCAGATGGCATTAGTGTTGTTTATTTTGCAATGTCCTGTAAATAGAACCTTGTTATGTTGTCATTGTTTGGCCAACATGAGTCAGGTATTGAAAGCTACATCTCTTTCAGGGAGAGGTACTTGAAACAGTGACAACTGCAGTGGTGTGTCTCTTCCAAACTCAGCAGACATTACTGGATCAAGTCCCCCAACTTGGCTATGTGCCAAGGGTGTTTCAGGTGATGAGTTCAAGGAATAATGCCATCCCAAAAGCAGCTATCCAGGTTGCTTACCAGTTGTCTTGTAATGAGGTAAGAGTTACAAATAAATTCTCTTATACTAAATGGTTCTTAAAGTAAGCACATTCAACACATTTTTCAGTTTTAGGCTTTAGATCTCACAAACACAGCAAAATGCTCCTGCAGGGAAAATAAGACACATAAGACTTGGTGGATCTTGTATCTATCAGAAATGTTAAACATACTGGTATATAGATATATAACAAACATGAAATATTGTGATTAAATGAATCAAGCTATAACCTACAACAAGCACCTGTTACATACATTTCCGTGGCATCACTCTGACCATCTAACTGCTCAACTGTCTAAACTCACTTCTCATACATGAAAATTTATGAACAGTGACAATATACACCAATTTGTCGTCATGAATTTTTCTGCAAAATCCGTCATAGCCCGAAACCATAAAAGCTACAAAATGAGCAGCTTAATCCTGTAGTGTAAATATAGGGATGTTAAAAAGGCTAGTACAAGTAAACAAGATAGGCCAACTTAACTTTGGTTTACACTGAGGTTGAAGGTTCTGTCAGGTAGTTGCCTCCTGACTATGAGTTGGTTGCAGCAACGTGAAGGCACATGTATATGAACAACAGATCTCACTAAACCCTGCGTATTCTAGTGGACATCCTTGGGAAGGTCCTTTCTTATATATAATAAATTAGGAAGTTGATGAAGTTAATGCTTCACCTATCAAATGGGTTTGACATTAACAATAGGAGCTTTAACCAAAAGTGTTTATAGCTATGTTATCCTTGCATGTAATTCAATTATGTTCCTATTTAATGAAATAATATAAGAAGTCTATATAAAGTTAATGTGTCATTAAATGTCTTTCTTCTTGTGGCGTGGTGTAGCCTAGTGGTTAAAGCTTTTGCTCGTCATGCTGAAGACCCGAGTTCGATTCCCCACATGGATACAATGTGTGAAGCCCTTTTCTGGTGTCCCCAGCTATGATATTATTGGAATAATTTTGCCAAAACCGGCGTAAAACCAAACTCACTTACTCACTTTGTTCTTGTATTTTGTTGTTAGCTGTGCATACGGAGTATGGCCACCACAGAATGTATTGGTGCCATGAAGCTTGCAATGAAAGTGAGACGAGACATGATTGCACTGGCTGCAGAAGCTTTGTCCAAGATGTTTGACAAGGGAGAAGAGGAACTGGTGTCACAGGTTGGCCTCTTCAGTTTTTGTTGTTATCATCTGTGTGTATTATACAGGTGATGAAATCTTTCATATGACGGGAACACAAATTAACATGCTGGAAATATTTATTTGTATAAATACATCGTGAAAAGCATTACTTCATTAAAATGTATTTATTGCAGGTAAAGAGATTGTATGTGAGGATTAAATCCGACTCTGAGGTTTTGTTTGATAAATTAAGCCTGCAGCAGACGAGAATTTCCCAAGGCCAAGGGCTCCACAAAAGAGGAGGTTTTGATCCAACTTATAAACCAACTGAAGATATACTTTAGATATAATATTAATATTTGGTATTTACTGTTAAAAGCAACTAGGAGGCGACTGGCAGCCGATATCTTGCCTTGCACAAGCAATACATGTGCTCTGCACGCGCTACCTGTGTCCTGCATGTGCACTGCCAGCAAAACCCGTCTTGTGAGGAACACATGGTTCATACAGACAAACAGTCGCATTCTTCACAGCGATCCTTCGTAGCGATCCTTCGTAGCCAATTGGATAATACCGCCAAGCTAATAAGCAAGGGTTGCAGATTAAAAAAACAGACATCAGCACAATATATTGGAAGTTTTCAATAATGTGATATTTTACGATCGTATTCAAAATTTATACAAGTAATATAAATTCAAAGTCAAGGGCTATCCTCAGAAAATCCTTGGCAATTCTGATGAAAATCCCTGGGATTTCTTGAATGCCAGCGAACTGTCTGTTGAGCTTTACTTGGTAACAGGAGAACCTGGCGAGACAACAGAGTAATGTCACTGGAGGTATATAATAGTAACAACAGCATTGCTTTTACCACAGTTTTGCCTGTCTATAAAATTCCTTGGTGGATAATCCAGATTGGATATTTGAGGGGGACAGACTTTCATATGTAGCCATTGATGTTGCCTGCCCAGCATCTCCACAGTAATCCCCCCTCACATAGTTTGGCTGATCAACTGTCCCAAGACAAGTTTGCATCTACAAGTAAAAATAATCAAGATATTGAGTAATTGATGTCAGTTCAGGTTAGAAAAGTGGCATGCTGCTGCCATATTGCCATGTGTTTCCTCCTTTTGGATCATTCCATTTAAGTATGAGGTAGATTTTGCTGTTTGCTCTGTTTGAAGCAAGAATTGATTTTGGTTTCATCTGGATTGAAAGCCTAAGAGTTGTTATTGTTTGTTTGACTACCTTATGTTTGATGTTGAGTTAAAGCAAGTAACACACTTTGTTTGAGTTGTCTGGATTAAAGTTGTTGTATGATTGACACTATACTCAATATCTCCTACTCTTGCAAGCAGTCATGTTCGTGGTGTATGAATTCCACTATCTATGCCAGAGTTAGAGGCGCTCCTCTCCCGTGTTCCTTGCCTATCTTTGGGGGAATATCGAGGGTCTACTGGTTAGACTCAGGTCAGAACACAAACAGAATGCTTACTGAGCTGAAGACCTTGAAGTTAAGAAGACATTGCCTACTGGGACCGAAGACTTGGGCCGATTGGATATCATGGAGAAGCAATGTTTTCACCTGCAATTCCAGTGATGTCCAAGATATTTTTATGGATTTAAACTTCTTTTTTATTTCCCTTCATCAGTTCACCTGATCTGGACACATCCAATCAAGGTGATTTATATTTTGATGTGCCTTTACGCTTGCCTCAACCATCGTGTGTGTACCATAAACACTTTTAGCATGTAGTGCTACAACAACATCAACTGGTGCTGTCTGATAATCCTCTTCATATTCTGTGGAGGCCAGTGTGTGGTCTGTGAAACTGAATCAGAGTGATGTCCCAAGGGAGGGGAGCAACATTGTCCTGGTTCTGGCGGCTATTGACACTACAGCCCCAATCCTATTCTGAGCCTACACTTGAAAAACATTCAGTGTTTTTTGATGGAATGTAGTATACATGTATATGTATTTCTCATTAGCTTAACTGGTGCCTTTTGATATTTTGATTATTTTCAATGTTTGCATGCCATCCAAAAATGCTTTCCATACCATATGGTCAGTTATTATTTGTTCTGAAACATCTGGAATGAACGTGTGAGATCTTCCCGCTGATGTGATAGGAGATCCCTTCATTAAAAGTAGTTATTTAATGAAATAAAAAAATATATTATGCAGGTACTTTGTGAAAGCAATTCAATGTATATACTGTTCTTGAACTACAGGGAGTATATACTGCTTTGTTAACTAGTATATACTTCTTTGTTAACTAGTATATACTGCTTTGTTAACTAGTATATACTTCTTTGTTAACTAGTATATACTGCTTCGTTAACTAGTATATACTGCTTTGTTAACTAGTATATACTGCTTCGTTAACTAGTATATACTGCTTTGCTTATATACTGCTTTGTTAACTAGTATATACTGTTAACTAGTATATACTGTTTGTTAACTAGTATATACTGCTTTGTTAACTAGTATATACTGCTTTGTTAACTAGTATATACTGCTTTGTTAACTAGTATATACTTCTTTGTTAACTAGTATATACTGCTTTGTTAACTAGTATATACTGCTTTGTTAACTAGTATATACTGTATATACTGCTTTGTTAACTAGTATATACTGCTTTGTTAACTAGTATATACTGCTTTTAACTAGTTAACTAGTTAACTATATATAACTGCTTTGTTAACTAGTATATACTGCTTTGTTAACTAGTATATACTGCTTTGTTAACTAGTATATACTGCTTTGTTAACTAGTATATACTGCTTTGTTAACTAGTATATACTGCTTTGTTAACTAGTATATACTGCTTTGTTAACTAGTATATACTGCTTTGTTAACTAGTATATACTGCTTTGTTAACTAGTATATACTGCTTTGTTAACTAGTATATACTGCTTTGTTAACTAGTATATACTGCTTTGTTAACTATATATACTGCTTTGTTAATATACTGCTAACTATATACTGCTTTGTTAACTAATACTGCTTTGTTAACTAGTATATACTGCTTTGTTAACTAAAAAGCTGCCTTTTCTTCTTCAGGCACTCAAAAATGACTTGCTGCCATTCCTTCTTCGACTACTGGAAGGAGGCCTTGAGGCTGTGGAGAACCCTGCAGCCACCAAAGCTCAGATTGTGAAGGCACTGAAGGCCATGCAGAGGAGTTTACTCTATGGAGAGCAGGTGTGTTTCTTCATTTGGTTGCTGTGAACAACTATCTCAACTCTCTCACTGCTACCTCAGACGATCTATAACCTCACTGTTCACACCCCATCATGCCACCATACATATAATGTCTTTATTCCAACTGTAAATTAAGATGTCAAACACTTAGTGAGCAAAATCAGCATCCCCCCAATCATCTCAGCTTCACCATTGTTATACACATTTTGTATACCGAGCTACAATATGGTGACATTGTTTTGTGATTTCAGTACTTCCTAATCTTTTCTCATTATGTTTCAAATTCTGCAAATAAGAATGAATTCTTTTTCTTGTACCCATGTCTGGTGTATACCCATTTTCAAATCAGCCAATCTGAAAAAGAATCTGAACAGATTTTTAACAACTGCGTGTCATGGCAAGTTACTATGGTCCTAGAGGCACAGGTGGTCTTTCCAGTAATGATGCTGATGACATAAAGTCATCGAAATCTAGGAAAAGAAACAACAGCTGAATATTAACTTGGTACAAGTTGTTTTTAGTGGCTGGAAGTTCATGATGAACCGTTAACATTAAATGGTAGAGCCAGGTGATCAAGAGATCAAGTTTGCATCTACCTGTTTTACATGATTGCTAATTGCAACTAATAATGTTTGGCTAATTCATATGTAATAACTACCACTTTGTGATTAAAGCATAAGACTTTCTGTTTCAAAGTTGTACCACATTTGAAATACTGTTTTCCAAAACTATTAATGTCTTAATTGGAAGCACTGATTGCTTTTGTTATGAAGAATACTGTGAGAGGCACAGTTCAAGGAAATGTGGCAAAGGGTTGTGGTCAGGCTGCTTCTCTGATTTCATAATATGCAAACTCTTTTCTAATTTATATTGATTTGTTTAGATGTGGCGTTCTCAGTTGGAATGTACTGTGACCTGACTGTATGTTGTATTCACAGATTACAGGGATCCTTGAAAAGTCAGCTGTATGGAAGGACTACAAAGATCAAAGACACGACCTATTCATCACCGACTCCAACATATCAGGCTATCTCACAGGTAGGACTTACTTCTCTCTACAGGGGATCACATGGAAGTCCCAGTCTATGCTTGTTATGTGTACAGCTCAGTGAACTATCGTAAATCATAAACATTTTACCGTATTCTGCTGAATTCCTTGTATGGATATCTCTTTCTATCAAGAGGTACAAGTATGTTCAAAATTGCCTTTTTTAAGGCAGCAAGGTAGGCAGGCATTTGTGATTCGGAGAAAAAGAACAAGGAGCCTGAAATTTGGATGCAAGATTGTCATGATAGCATTTCTTTTTACAATGTATGTTTCCTGAGAAACCAAAGAACAAAACAAGAGGAAACTTGACAGGTTTATTCAAACCAATGATGTTCAGAGACTTTTATAGAATCTGAATTTAAATATGGCTCGAACTACAGCCCACTTGCGGCAATAAGGATAAAGAGAGCACAGGCTTGAAGTAACAAATCTTCTATGTAATACCAGGGTGTGTTCAGGCTTGAAGTAACAAATCTTCTGTGTAATACCAGGGTGTGTTCAGGCCTGAAGTAACAAATCTTCTATGTAATACCAGGGTGTGTTCAAATCTTCTATGTAATACCAGGGTGTGTTCAGGCTTGAAGTAACAAATCTTCTATGTAATACCAGGGTGTGTTCAGGCTTGAAGTAACAAATCTTCTATGTAATACCAGGGTGTGTTCAGGCTTGAAGTAACAAATCTTCTATGTAATACCAGGGTGTGTTCAGGCTTGAAGTAACAAATCTTCTATGTAATACCAGGGTGTGTTCAGGCTTGAAGTAACAAATCTTCTATGTAATACCAGGGTGTGTTCAGGCTTGAAAATAATCAAATATTGTTCTGGAACTGAATCTATATACAAAATACAAACATGCTTGTGAATGCCCATGATAACTGGTAATTTCATCTGTGTAGCTGCATAGGGTTGAATGTGAATGTGAACTTCCGTTAATTCAGTCATACCACAGAGTGTTTGTATATGTCATGGTCAAGTTTCACATCCACAAAGTATAACAATACACATCTTTGGCAAGACAGTGGAAAGACTTCCCCTTAAATTCCATTCTAGTCAAATCATACCACCTGAATATAATAATAATAATGATAACAATAATAATAATAATAGTGCATTTATATAGCGCTATTTCTAAACATAAGGATGCTTAAAGCTCACAAACATGGTTTGATATTAAGAGTCAGGGAAAGCTTGGCGAAAGAGGAAAGTTTTTAGTAAGGATTTAAAGGATGACAACGTTTGAGAATCTTTGAGTTCTTGGGGCAGATTATTCCACTCAGTTGCTGCGGCATATGCAAATGATCTGTGACCGTAGCGGACAGTGTTTGTATTTGGGACAACAAGGAGAGACTTGGTCTGGGATCTGAGAGTTCGAGCAGGGTGGTGTGTCTGAAGAAGGTTGCAGAGATGGACTGGAGCTGATCCGGAGATACATTGGAAGGTCAGGGACAGGAGCTTGAACTTGATACGGAAGTGAACAGGAAGCCAATGAAGAGATTTGAGTGATGTGTGCCTGTTTGGGGGTAAGGGATGCAATTCTTGCGGCTGTGTTTTGAACATGCTGAAATCTGTTGATCAGAGATTTGGGAGCGTTAATCAAGAGGCAGTTACAGTAATCAAGACGTGAGATGACGAGAGAGATAATGAGGGTTATAGTAGCACTGGTGGTAAGGTGTTTTCTGATACAACTGATGTTCCTTAGGATGAAAAAGCAAGTTCTGGAGATATTGCTGACGTGGGCCTCCATAGTTAGTTGGGAGTCAAATGTGACTCCAAGGTTGGCTCGTCACGCCGAAGACCCGGGTTCGAATCCCCACATGGGTACAATGTGTAAAAGCGGCGTAAAACCAAACTCAGTCAGTCAGTCAGCCAAGGTTCCTGGCTGAGCTGGCAAGAGGAATCGGCGTTGTTCCAACTGTGATGCTGTCAAGCTGTGTTTTTTTGTGTTCGACTCACAGGTCCGGTTAGGAGTGCCTCTGTTTTCTCGTCATTCAACTTCAGTTTATTTGCGGTCATCCAATGTTTAATGTCTTGAGTAGCACTGACTGATCTTAGTGTGAGCTACTGATGCTGAGGAAGGATCCGGTCTGAAGATGTTGATGATCTGGGAATTGTCAGCATAGAAGTGCTTCGGAAGATCATAGTTTCCAATGATTTCACCCAATTGTCGAATGTAGAGGGTAAATAACACCGGTCCGAGCACTGAACCTTGTGGAACGCCCCATCTAAGCTTAAGTGCTGATGAAGATACCCCGTTGAGATGGATTGATTGATGCCTATTTTCCAGATATGATTTGAACCAAGCAAGTGCAGTTCCATCGATACCGATCTCAACTTGAAGACGGGACAGGAGACTGCTGTGGTCGATGGTGTCAAAGGCTGCGCTAAGATCTAGCAAAACCAGGAGGGCTACATTGCCTTTGTCAATTCCAGATTGCAGTTCATTCATGACATAGAGCAGGGCCGTCTCAGTGCTGTGATTTGGTCGGTACGCAGATTGGTAGGGCTCATGAAGATCATACAAAGACAGGTGTCCTGATAGACGTTGGCACACAGCCTAATGAGTTTTGAAATGTATGGAAGGTTGGAAACCGGACGATAGTTCTTTAATACATCACAGTCTAGGCCAGGTTTTGACAAGTGCAGTTTTCAAAGAGTTTGGCATGATTCCATTGGCTAAACTGAGGTTGACCAATGATGTCACAACTGGAAGGAGGATGTCAATGTTGTCGATAATCAGCGTCGGAGGAAGGGGATCTAAGGGACAAGTAGTTGGTTTAGATCTTCTAATCAACTTCAGAGTTTCGGCTTCAGTTGAAAAACAGATAAACGATTATTCTGAAACATGACAGGATCATTGTCCTCGGTGACGTCATCAAACTGTTGACGCATCGCCTCGATCTTGTCGCAGAAATAGGTTGAAAATTGTTCTGCTATTCCCAAGGTTACGTCACCAGAAGGCAAGGATGGATCAGTCTTTCTACCCATCAGGGAGAACATAAGTTTATACAGTGCCTTGGGATCAGATGTACTTTCCTCGATTTTAGCATTCATATATGTGCGTTTTGCTTGTCTAACTGTCTTATTGGAAGCATTCCTGGCAGAGACATATATCTGGTGATAGACTTCAAGTTTAGTTTTTCTCCACTTGCGCTCAGCTTTCCTACTTGCAGATTTTGCAGTCTTCACATCATCCATATATAGCCAAGGTGTATCTGGTCTGTATGGAACACTCTTTGTCACTTCAGGCGCATGTTTGTCTAACAGTTCACTGAGCACCTTGTTATACATGTCAACAAGGTCTTCAACATTAGATGCTGGTTGTAACAGAAGGGGAGAGTGTGAAAGGTCATTTCTAAATGCTTGCGTGTTGATTTTCTTCAATTTTTTTTTGCATTTTATGACTTTGATAGGAGGTTTAGGTCGGCTGGTATCCAAACACATCGTTATCAAGTGATGGTCAGAAAGTTGCATATCAGTCACTGTAGTAGACTGAATAAGAGGCTCCGTCTCTGAGCTGAGGACCCAGTCAAGAATATGTTGACACTTATGGGTTGGCTCACTGACATGCTGGACCAGTCCATAGGATCGCAGAAGAGTCATCATTTTTTACGTGTCTGGATCACTCTGATCATCGTAATGAAAGTTCAGGTCTCCCATAACCAGTAGTCTCCCTTTTGCAACTGATATATGGTCAAGCAGTGACGAGAATTCATCAAGAAACATAGCAGGTGTTAACTTATTTTTTTCTTGAGGGAGGGGACGATAAATAACACAAGCAAGTGTTGCTGTCTGATCATGCGTAACAGTGAATTCCATACACTCAAAAGACTGAGTATCAATATATATATTCTTCATCTGATAAGGATGAGTTTTAACATGTTTCTTTGATTGTATCTGAACATACTGTAAGACATATCCAACTTCTAAAAATGACACTCAAAGAAGTTGCATGCTTGATGCCTTGTACATCAGTAAAATGAACAAACACTTGGTTCCAACTTTTGAAGAGTTCTGGTTTTCAATTAAATCTGACCATCTCAAGCTGAAACATTACTACCAAGTACTACTGAGAAACCTGACACAACTGATGCATATGACATCAGTTACTACCCTGTCAAGGTGTGCTGGTCAGCTACTCAAGTGTTACAGATGACATCAGTTACTACCCTGTCAAGGTGTGCTGGTCAACTACTCAAGTGTTACATGTGACATCAGTTACTACCCTGTCACGGTCTGCTGGTCAGCTACACAAGTGTTACAGGTGACATCAGTTACTACCCTGTGAAGGTGTGCTGGTCAGCTACCCAAGTGTTACATATGACATCAGTTACTACCCTGTGGAGGTGTGCTGGTCAGCTACCCAAGTGTTACATATGACATCAGTTACTACCCTGTCAAGGTGTGCTGGTCAACTACCCAAGTGTTACATATGACATCAGTTACTACCCTGTGAAGGTGTGCTGGTCAGCTACTCAAGTGTTACATATGACATCAGTTACTACCCTGTGAAGGTGTGCTGGTCAGCTACTCAAGTGTTACATATGACATCAGTTACTACCCTGTGGAGGTGTGCTGGTCAGCTACTCAAGTGTTACATATGACATCAGTTACTACCCTGTGAAGGTGTGCTGGTCAGCTACTCAAGTGTTACATATGACATCAGTTACTACCCTGTGAAGGTGTGCTGGTCAGCTACCCAAGTGTTACATATGACATCAGTTACTACCCTGTCAAGGTGTGCTGGTCAACTACCCAAGTGTTACATATGACATCAGTTACTACCCTGTCAAGGTGTGCTGGTCAGCTACTCAAGTGTTACATGTGACATCAGTTACTACCCTGTGGAGGTGTGCTGGTCAACTACTCAAGTGTTACATGTGACATCAGTTACTACCCTGTCAAGGTGTGCTGGTCAACTACTCAAGTGTTACATGTGACATCAGTTACTACCCTGTGAAGGTGTGCTGGTCAGCTACTCAAGTGTTACATAT